CTGAGAGGCGATCAGGTGGACAGCTGGCCTGCCGTACCTCCGCCAGATGTCCACCACTACTTCCGGATGGAGCCTCCACTCCCCCGGAGGTGGACGCTCCTGGGATAGAAAGTCGGCTAGACGATTCTGCACACCTGAAATGTGGGCTGCCCTGAGGCTGGCAAATCGGGGGGCCATCCAGAGTAAGAGTGTCCGGGTCAGCTGAAACAGCATCAGCGACCTTGCCCCCCCCCCCGATGATTGATATAAAAAACAACCGAGGTGTTGTCCGAATGTACCAGGACATGCTTGCCGCGTAGGCCTGGGAGGAAGTGCTTCAGTGCCAGCTACACAGCTTCCAACTCCAAAGTGTTGATATGCCTGCCCCTTTGCCTCCGGGACCATGTCCCCTGGATGGTCTGCCGCTGCCATGATGCCCCCCATCCTGTGGGGGACGCATCTGTATACACGACCTCTCTGCGAGATGGTAGAGAGCCTAGTGGAATCCCTCATGTCATGAATGCTGCGTCCAGCCATTGAGCCACTGACAGAAGGCATTGAGGGGACACCCGCAACCTCCTGCGCCGGTGTGTTCAACAAGTCGGATCCAGCCGCACACTGTTTATCCACCTCTGTAGGGGGCACAGTGACAACAGACCTAGGGGAACCACTGTAGAAGCAGCAGTTAACCTGCCCAACAGGCGTAAGTAAGCAACAAGGGGTGGTGAATGGCCAGGCAGGAAGGTGGATAGTGTTTGCAAAATCCCACTCACACGCTGTGGTGATGGGTAAGCAGTCATCGTGAGGGAGTTCAACACGATGCTGAGAAAAGTGACCTCCTGAGACGGAACAAGGTTGCTCTTCTCCCAATTCACACGAAGACCCAATCGTCTATATGACTGAGCACCTTTAGTGTGTCTGCCGTGGCCTGAACTGTTGTTGGTGCACAGATCAGCCAGTAGTCCAAATAAGGCAGAATCCTCAATCCTCTGGCCTGCACAGGATGCAACACGGCAGCCATGCACCCGGTGAATACGCGGGGAGACAGGGAGAGGCCAAACGGGAGAACCCTGAATTGAAAATGCCTCTCCTGAAATGCAAAACGGAGAAACCTCCAGTGACGGGGCGCAATCGGCACATGGAAATCAGCATCCTTCAAGTCGATCAAGGTGAACTAGTCGCCTGGAGAGACCACTTGAAGTACATCCTTGACACTCAACATGTGAAAAGTGATCGCCTTTAAAAGCACATTCAGACCCCTCAGGTCTAAGACTGGGCATAAGCTGCCAGTCTTCTTCTGTACTAAAAAATACTTTGAGTAAAATGGCCCCGGATCCAGCAGGGGTTTGACCGGCACTATGGCATCCTTGGCAAGCAAGGAGTCTATTTCTATGCTTAATGCCAGAGCTTTCACCTGATTTTGAATGACTGTCATTCTGACCTGACCAGGGATGGGAGGGCGGCGGCGGACCTGTATGGAAAAACCTTGGAATATAGTTGACACAACCCATGCATCGGGAATGAGAGCAGCCCAATGATTGAGTTGAATCAGGGTAAAATGTCCCACCGACTGATCCCTGGTGCCATTTACGAGCCCTCGACCATTATGAGGGTGGGAGGGCTGCCGAGTAGATGGCCCAAGTATAGGGGGAACAGGGGTCCGGGCTCCTGGCAGGCCCCATTGGTCGTGAGCAGGCCCAACTGGAGGCCATGGCTGCCCTAATGAAGATGTAGGTGGGGGGGGGGGGGGCACGAGCACGTGAGAATGCAGCGCTCACCCCAGCAGGGAATTGTAAATTTCTCCTGCAGAGGCCAGCCAATTGCTGCCTGGTAAGGGTAGCCTGAGCATCGCTCTAATGCTGCAAGGGCAGCTGAGCCAAACAGCTCCCCAGGGACCACAAGAAGACACATCAGGGTCCTTCTACAGGCCTCAGTCAAGGGTGACTGCGCTAGCCAAACCTGGCRGCRTGCCTGGACAAGAGTGGACAACACACGACTAATCTCTCTTGACATCAGAGCAAACGCATGAAGCGAAGCATCTACCAACCCCTGAGTGGAAGCGTCGATTCCCAGGCCTTCTACAGAGGCTGAGAAAGTCAGCAATAAGTGAGACAATGAATTGCCAAACCGACCCACCGTGACCACGAGTCATAGGCTCTAAAGAGCAGGTTTTCTGTGACACGACATTGAGGACGAGGACACCTGGCATTAGTCCTCAGAACCTCATCTGGAGCCACAATGAGGGAAGCTATAGCTGGCTCGACTGAAGGCATATGGCCCAAGCCGAATCTAGGTGCGTCCTGCATGGCCGCCAAGGTCCTGCCATCCGAGGTCGGCCGCGAAAGGGCTTTAGTATCAGCCMAGCAGGCATGTGCGTCTTTCACATTATCCGCAGACGGAGGAACCATGAAAGAAGTCCTAGGAGCAGGGCATTGGAAGAAGGCACTGGAAGTAGTAGGCTGGCTCTGGGGGGCATCCAGGTGCAGCTCGGCAAGAGCCATCCTCAAAGCACCCACTATGTAACCATCCTCCTCCGAATGGGAGCCAGAGGTGGTGTGGGACCTGGAATTTGAAAAAGAGGAGCTTGAATCCAACTGTTTATGAAAATGGGTTGCAGATGCTGCTAAGGATATAGCATCCTCCTCCTCAAAAGCGGGGGTCCTTGAACGCAAACTCTGTTCTGGTTCAGGGTCTGTAACTGGAGCACTGCCATTGTCTCCCCTGAGGGCTTCAAGCAGTGTCTTCATACGCTCCAGCTCAGAGGTGAGATAGGCCACTTGCCCAGAGATTCCTTCAGAGACCTTGGAGCTCTTACTGGATTTCTTCCCCAGGGGCCCCACTTCCTCTGGGGCTTTATGCTTCGAGGGCTTGCTTGTGCCCTCCACACTAGCCAAGCAGGCAGTTTGTAAGGACAAGGGCAATACAAAACAACTGGGGCAGGCCGCTTCAGTCAAGGCCTCCCTCAGATGATCTGGCCCCAAACAAGAGGGGCACAGATTGTGACCGTCCTCCAATTGGAGAGGGGCCAGACAAGCCCTACAGCATGGTGCGTCCAACATCTTACCGCTGTCAGAACTCAAAGTGTCAGGTCGAGCGGAAGCGCCACTCTTGACACCGATGTTAATGAGCAATTAGAACAGAAAATCCGGTAGAGCAGAAAAACGCCACTAAGGATTTCCGTGAGCTCAACAAGTAAGGCAAAGTTTGCTTAACAAAAAGAGGACAGACTAAACGCAGCTAAGTAACAACAAAGGCAAGCACGATACAGCTGCAATGTAGCAAAAAATACAGACAGCCAACAGGCTATGTTAAAAAGTGCAAAGCTGAGCGCAGCTGCATCGATAACAAGCAAACTTGAAACTGCCTTAGTCAGTTGTAGTGGTCACCTGGGGGGGAATAAACGCTCCACCTGTCTTTGACATTGTCCTCCGAAGGCCTCCTTTAAAGAACAGAACTCTGTTCGAGTTACAGTTATAACATGTTTTCTTAAACAGTAAAGAGACATTTTATTTCATTTTATTTTCTTTAATCAAGATGATAAACAAAATAATAAT